GGCTCCCGCCCGAGCCGCTCTTGTGTGGGAAGAGGGTTCTGAGAACCATGCTGGGACGCCGGGCAGCCGGGGATGGGAAAGCTTTGTGCGGCACATCTGCTTGTGTGGGAAGAAAGCAGTAGCTGAACGGTAGGAAGCGAGCGCCCAGGGCGACGACAGCTCCCTGTGCAGTGTCTCTGCCGTAGCTCCCCACTGTGCAAGGGATGCTCTGGGTGTAGCGCCCATCACAAGGCAGTGTTTGACTTTCAGCGTGAGCGTGGTGCGTCTCTGCGTGCGCTCCGTGCAGCCGTTGGCCCCGAATCTGTATTGCAGATGTCCAGCAAACGTCAAGGGCGCTGGCTGGAGATGCTATCTGCGCTGGGAAAGCCAGAAACCGTTCCTGTGTGAGTCAGATAAGGCAGGGACAGGAAGAGCCGTTATCCCTGTTCTCATGAAGAATTATCCCTGATCTCTCTGGGAGATGCGCTTTTCCTTAGGGTACCTGGGGAGCCTCTGGCTGAGGAGGGAACCATGCCAAGGTTGCCACGGTCCTTCTCCAACACCTTATGTGTGAGCTTGCTCTGCTGCAGTGGGGTTCAGTCTCTACCCCCTCATCCCATCGCTGAGCCCACGTCAGTGCTGTTGACACCTTGCCCATGCCGTGATCTTCGCTCAGCACCTCCGCACGGGGTTAGGGTGCCGGCAAGGCGGTTGGCGGGGGAGCCGAGCGAGGCCAGGCGTGCCGGGAGAGCTCTTGCCACGTTCGAGCCACGTTCGCTGCCTTTACTGTAAATGTTCTTCTGTGGGCTGGTGGGGAGACCACGTCCGCTCACACCCAGCGTCTCCGCTGCTGGCGGGAAGCCTCTGCCCTGCTCGTTTCGGGAAGGAGGAGGCGCTGAGGCACGCCGTGCTCAGAAACACCCAAGGGCTTGGATGGAGAAGGGGTTTGTTTCTCGCTGAGCTTGTGCAGCTCCCGGCTGAGCATCAGAGGTTTTGGTACCACTGGTGCCAGGGCGTGGGACGTGCCGGGGCGCGGGACGTGCCACAGGATCTAATGCCACCTGCTTCTCTTCCAGCTTGGACGGCGGGGAGCTCTTCAGCCGAATTCAAGACAGGGGAGACCAGGCCTTCACAGAACGGGGTATGGAGCCCGTGGGGGTGCAGCTGTCATCTTTGGACCATTTTGCGCTGTTTATAGAAGTGTCTCTGGTCCAGCTTATTCCCACAATCAGTCTTTGGAATCCCCAGCAGGATTTTGCACTTGGGAAGCAAGGAATGTGGGTGCAAGTGGTGCTGCTTTTCACGCTCACTTGGGAGCAGCGTTAAAGTGTCCACGCAACCCAAGCCTGTACAGCTGGGGTGGGACAGCTTTCCTAACTGGTTTCCCTGCAGATTTGGGGTCCCCAGTGGTGCTGGGGGCTGGGTCAACCCCCCCCGACCCCAGCCAAAGCAAACCCCTCATTGCGGCTTGTGCGGTTGGGTATGGGGATCAGCAGCTGGAGCCTGCCCCATCCTGCCTGGGAGTTTCTCTCCCACTTGCTGCAAGCTCCCAACCCAGGGGCGGATGCTGAGCAGGGGCTCCTGCTTGGAAAGAGGGACTTTGGGCAGAGGAAACCCCTTTGGCTTCAGCCATGCACTTGGCTCCTGGTCTGCAGAGTAACCCAGGGAGCCGTGCTCACTGCAACTGGCTTCTAACGGCTTCTGGTTGTTGTTTTCCTTCTTCAGAGGCTTCGGAGATAATGAAGAGCATCGGGGAAGCCATCCAGTACCTGCACTCAATCAACATCGCGCACCGGGACGTGAAGGTACCGTGCCGCATGCTTGCCCAGCCGTGCCGAGCCCCACTTGGCCCACGGCAGTGCCGAGGCTGCTCTGGCTCGTCTGCTCAGGACTTCTTCCCTGTGTTTTCACAGCCGGAAAACCTCTTGTACACCTCCAAAAGGCCCAATGCTGTGCTAAAACTCACGGACTTTGGCTTTGCTAAAGAAACCACCACGCACAACTCCTTGGCCACTCCATGCTACACGCCGTACTACGTGGGTAAGTGGCTGGGGGGTCTGAGCTTGCAGGTTTGCAGAGCTGGCGAGGTCTGGATGGTGCCGTGCACAGCCCATCACCTCTGCATCCAGCCTGGAGCCTCAGTCGCAGCTGGGAGCGACTCCCGTCTGGGATGCATGGGACTGGGGGCTGCTTTGGGTGCAGGTGGGTGCTGTGTCTGCTGCTCAGTGCCCATGTCCAGGCCGCTCCGAGCGCGGTGTCGCTGCGTGCAGCTGATACCTTGCGTTGTGCTCCGGGATGTGAGGTGGCACCACTCTGCGCCGCTCCAGCCGCTCCGCCTGCACGGCCACGCTGGAGCCCGGGCAGCAGCATCTGCTTGTCCCTGAGCCGAGCTTTGGCTCCGAGGATGGTCAGATCCCTCTCACCTGGTGCTGCCACTGACTCAGGACCTTGTTTCTCTCTTTACCAGCTCCGGAGGTGCTGGGCCCAGAGAAGTACGACAAGTCCTGTGACATGTGGTCCCTCGGCGTCATCATGTACATTCTGTAAGTCCGACGGGTCGCTCTCCATCCGGGGGCGGAAAGGGGGGATGCAGCTTTTGAGCTTGTCTGCTGGCTGGCAGGGCTGACCCTTTCCGAGCTGCACTGCCCCGTGCCCGCCGGCGCTGCTGGGGCGACACGTTGAGTCTCCGCTCCCTCTCCCGGCGCAGGTTGTGCGGGTACCCCCCCTTCTACTCCAACCACGGCCTGGCCATCTCGCCCGGCATGAAGAAGCGAATCCGAATGGGCCAGTACGAGTTTCCCAATCCTGAATGGTCCGAAGTGTCGGAGGAAGGTAAACGCGGTCCCCGTGCTGTCTTGTCCCGGGCTGAGGGCTCCCTTGGGGTTGGCTCCGCATCCCGCAGCGCTGCGAAGGCTGGGGGGGACGGGGAAGCCTGGGCACGGTGTGGGTCACCACTTAGTGATGCAGCAGCTTCACCTCTTCGCTCGAGAGGCTTTTGCTGAAAGGATTGAGGAGGGTGATGTCTGTGGCACGGAGGGGACAGGAGGCATGTAGAGGTGTTATGGGGCCGCTGACTTGGGGTAGAGCATGGGGACACCCCCCTCGGCGTGTGCTAATGCCCAGCCCTGCACAAACCCTTCCAGTTAAGCAGCTGATCCGCAACCTGCTGAAGACGGACCCGACTCAGCGCATGACGATAACGGAGTTCATGAACCACCCCTGGATCATGGTGAGTGCTGGATAGGGATGGGATGGGCTGGGCTGGGCCGGGATGCTGCGGCTCCCAGCTCACGCTCCTCCGCTCTCGGCAGCAATCCATGCAGGTGCCCCAGACGCCGCTGCACACCAGCCGCGTGCTGAAAGAAGAGAAGGATCTGTGGGAGGATGTGAAGGTAAAACCTCTCCCTGTTGCCATCTGAAACACTCTGTGCCCTGGGTGCCATCTGGGGACTGTTTGCTTCCGCCTTCTCCTTGCAAACCAGCCTAATTTGGGCTCGGAGCGAGCGCTGGCTCCTGGGGAGATCAATTCTTGGGATGGGGCTGGAAAAACTGGCAGTGGAACGCTCAGCCCTGGCTGCGGCTCGTTCCTGCGGG